ATCAATCGCTAATTGTTTCATTGATAGGTTTGTCTGCCAAATGACTTGTTTTTAAACATAAATGCACGCGTGAATATTTTAGACGCGCGCCTCATCTTTTTAGGTTATGTACGAGTTTCAAGCTACTTTGCAAAGATATAAGTAACTTTGACGTACGAAAGTAGCGATATATTAATTTACTAGCAGCGATGCACTCGAAATTGCGCGAGAAATCAATCGCTAATCGTTTCGTCGATAGGTTTGTCTGCCAAATGAGTTATTGATATGATCCCTAAGAATCAACGATATGTAAAAAGTTACTTAAAATCGGCTTCCTGTTCGTTCGATTATACACTTTCCTGAAGTATTATAGCAACGGTACGTTGTTGGGAACGGTGAAATACGGTGTAGTTAATGGCAATCGATAAGTTTTATGGTCCGGACCGTATGAAAGGAACGTAAAAAGATAAACGAAGCAATATTTATTACTCGCTTTGACATTCGAGAAAATTTATCAATGATTAATGTTGAATTGGCGGCTAGTTTTTGTACCCGCAGATTTATTTAGGCGTTGGATTTCCTTTGAAACATGGTTACGAAGATAAGCAACATTTTAAATAACGCGCGCTCGTACTCGAAAGTCCTACAGGGTTTAGGGTTCTCCAAAAAATCCCAGTACTCGAATTTTAATCAGCTTCTCTTCTTTTGAAATTCTACATATGCATATAATTATCATTTCCTTCACCCTGCGTCATTTAATACATCCATTCGTTGATATGAAAAATTGTTATGGCAAATTGTTTAATTCAAAGCGAAAAATATTATGACTCACGATTCATCCTTTTCAACGTCGAGTTTTCAACGTCATCGACATGCTTTGTATACATACATGCTCTTCCTTTTATTCTTCATTCTCTCTTTGAAGTGTTCTTTCTTCCTTTCTTCATCTTTCATTCTCTCTCTCTCTCTCTCTTTACTTCATTCCTCATTTGACTCATTCCCAATTATGATCTCTATTTCTTCTCCAAGCTTCCTTTTTCCTTTATTTTTCCCTCTTTATGTACCTCTTCCCTTTGACCAAGTTTTCTTCTTCTTCTTTTCACTTTATTTCTCTCTTTTTCTCACTCTATCTTCCTCTTTACTTCATTCCTCGTTTGACTCATTCTCAATTATGATCTCTAATTGTCGTCCAAGCTTCCTTCTCCATTTATTTTTCATTCAACCAAGCTTTCTTCTTCTCCTTCTTCTTTTCACTCTACTGCTCTGTTCCTCCCTCTCTCCCTATCTCTTTCTACTTCATCCCTCGTTTGACTCGATGTTATCTATAGTCCTATTAATGAGTAGGATAATGATCCAAATCTTCTTCTTCTTCTTCTTCTTCTATCCTTCTCTCTCTCTACTTTATTCCACCTTCAATTTTAGGTCTTCACCTATTGCTCCTTCTTGTCGATCAAATCTTCTTCATCTTCTTTCACCATCTTCCACCCTTACCTCCTCATCCCCTATTCCACTCAACCTCACCTATAGTCCTCATTCGATGTCCAAAGCTTTCTCTTTCTTCTTCTTTTTTTCTTCTTTCTATCTTCTCTCTTTCTCTCCCTATTTCTCTCCTCGTTTGACTTGTTCTTACCTATAACCCCTGTTCGTCTCTTCTTCCGCGATCCGAATCTCGACATGAAATAAGAAGGGGGTAAATACTCGGAGTCGTCTTCGAGTACATGGGCGTTTGGCACGAAACCAAATTCCACTGGCAGGAGGTATATCATAGCTAGGAGGCGAGTTGATATATATACAGTGTCCCCTTTGAAATCATTCTCCTGGCTTATTCGGAGGTGATAACGATAACGACGTTAATCTGTAAGGGAGGATAAACCCTGAAATGTGGGACACACAGTCCAAGCTCATATTTCGCTCACCAATTAAGCTACTTTCGTCGTTGGGGCAATAACTTACTTTGTCTTTATGAACACGCAGTAATTCGATGGATAGTTCAATTTTGTTAAAAGGAATCGTTGGAATGAAACACTGGTTTCACGATCTACTCCTTGAGATACCACATTGGGCTTAGAGGAAAAGTCATGTTCAGAAATGTACGCAAGTTTGGGTATTTTTCAATTATTTTTGCAGGATTCCCGCTGTTTTGATGCTCTTCGTGAGCTATTGGTTTTATTATTTGTTTAGGATTAATAATTCGTAAATTTATTTTTGAACACTATCGTTATTATTTATAACGTTTATTTAGAAATTTTGCTAAATCAATTTTGCTAAATCATTTAAAAACGTCTCTTGACATTTTTGACCGATGAAGTCAGGATAAAATTATAACAAGTCATTTAATTTATGCAACGGAAGAACTCTTTATCGTTGGAATTAATTACCTTAAGTGGCAGTGGTAAAGCTCAGAAAGTGGTCAGGCGTCAGTCTTTGCCGTATACGTGGAATTTTATATAAATTACCATTAATAACTACTTTTCCTGATTAATAGTGGCCATAACGTCAACCATTCATTTTTCCCATTAATTTTAGCAATTGAAGATCGTGATTATTTACACATTATTCAATTAAATTCGATGGAATAGCTGGTCGAATTTAAAATGTGAATGAAAATTGATTTAATTAAAACAAGTTACATTTAGAAATGTAAATTACGTAAAATAGATAAATAAATTATATGAAAATTACATAGAAAATATTTCATATTTACCGTTCAATAATTTCGCGGTTAAGAAAATGCGATTTTAGCGAGAGGTTTCGTGTAAATAATTTTCACACGATATATCGTTGGTGATACTGTGGTTTACGATTGCAAGCAGGAGCTTGACCGTACTGAGACGGTTACTCATAACAGTTTACTAATTATTACCAATTAATATGACTGTATAAAGCTTATTCATCTGTCACTACAATTCGAAATGCGGATACGATGTTATATCAGCGTATTTCACGCGTGTTAGAGTCGTTATTGATCATTCCACCATTAAATTTCGTTAATATAACAACCCATATTATGATAACTTTTAAATTACTATTTTATTCAAAGGAAAACGATAAAGATAATAAGTAAATTAATAAAAATTATTAACAAATTAACGAAAAGAATTGGCTTTGCGTTGAAACGAATTGTATTAATTTTATAAGTAACGAATTCAAATAATTATAATTTTCATAGGGATGTAAGGAAATGATTTATTCATAAAAATTACATTATTCAGAATGATCGACGATTTCATATTTTATTTGCTATTTTATTTTTATATAGAACTTGAACCTTGTTTTAATAGAGCACGAATTGGGATAAGAAATGATTTTACACTGGAAGCTTACGTGTGAAATATTATTTATTTAAGTATCATTCGTGACTTTCGCATTAAATCTGTGCAATTACATGTAGTAGTGTGGTATCATTGTGTGTCACTGTTGTGTAGTGGTTGTATTAACTCGTTGCAAACAGGTCGATCCTTGAACTAAGCTGTAAATAAAAATAGAAATGATCATTGATTTTGAGAAAAGCGATTAACGAAATACCACGAATTTGATAGCTGTGGAAATGTGTCAATGTTGGTATGTTATGTTGTATTAGAATAATATTTTAATATTCTAATGCTTTGTCCTACGAGGAATAATTTTCAATTACTCCATATTTACATAATTTTATATACAATTTATTATAATATAATATTCATATAGTTCAAATAACTAAGGATATTGAAATAATATTACAAAGTAACATTCAGTTAGTGAAATTCCTATTTAATGTGTCATTTCCTTTACAACGTTGACAAAAATAATTAACACTATACCTTCGTCGTCGTTTCAGACATTTCATATCTATAACAAACGTTAGGCCTGTAAATTGTTAATCATACCTTGCTGTAACGTACATATCACATTAATTAGTTATTCAGATGTCTTTTAATTTTAACGGAGTTAGCGTGTTACGTCACGTTCGCATACAATAACGAGTTAATTTGTACAATTCGATCGATCAGCTTTAATACTCCCGACGTTTCATTGATTTCGTTATGTACACCTACAAGTCACCCTAACGGCGCAGCTGTGCAACGTTTCAAAGTCTTTGGTCGTTATCAAAGGGTTACTATCCTGTCTCACATGTTTAATGTAATTTACATAAATAGTATCACATGGTAATTTTACTGGTTTATAAATTACAACGTGTCATATACAGTTAGGAACTCGAGCAGCAAATTGTGTTGCAGTTAGTTACAGAGTGTAATGAAACTTTAATTTTGATTATCGAAGAGCACAAGATATCGTACGGTGTAAATCGGCTTATCCTCATGACGATGATCGAACACTGACCACGCGTACTTAATTATTAACTGTTACTTAGCTAAGGATCCGAACTTTGTAAGCGTATTTGCATTTCCACGCGATCAATCGTGTTGCGATTCTGACTGAATTCAGATTTTCACAACTCACATGACCAACCTAAATTGTTGGACCCTCGGATCCAACTTGGAGAAAATCTAAATCATTGTCGCATCAAGCGCGCCTGGAATGGATCAATTTGGTTAAATAATTCGATGAAATTAAATTACGAACGTACTATGTCTATTTCTACGGTGTCAGTTCTATCCTCATTTATGTTTTCCATCGTACCTCGACGAGATCAAAATACAGGGTGTTAAAAAGTACGAGAGAAATACGAAGCTTCTTTTCGTTTAACCCTTTGCGGATGGAGCGGTTTTGAGTAAACCGTACCGTGAGGCCGAGCAGCTGCCGTGATAGTCATTCAAAATTATCAGCACTCATTTCTACTTAAACGCGATTTTCATTCATAGCGACGCTGGCAATGAGGACATAAAACAGTCCACCACTTAACTTGGGACGTGGGGTCCTAGGGCCGCAACAGCGGGCACATATATGTGTTTTTGGGTCATAGCAACGCGTTTACATGGGACACATTTAAGCCCTATCAGTTACTTCCGTCGAATGCATATATAAGTTCCTCGGCCAAACTGATGGTTTCCATCAAACGCATGTATGCGACGCTATTAAATGCCACGCCATTTTTACGTGTAGTTCCGTTTACGCCACAGTTAGTCGCTATGCGGGCTCTTTCGGGCCGTACGGACCGGCGATGCCTGAGCGGAAAGTCTACCGCCAGGCGCGGCGTTTAACGTGTCAAAAGAATATTCACACGGTATATCATAAGTCGAAGTCCAAAGCTGCGCCCAAACTACCGTGACTGTGACAACCTCGTTCGTCCCGTTGATTAAAATCGTCAAAGTTTAAGACTTTCTTTTTAAACACTCTGTATACCACTGCGAATCGTGACAACGTAAGTACATCGTCGAATCGATCCTTTTCCTGCATCAACAACACCATTTGGAAATCACAAACAATTAATCCATGCACGCGAGTCGGAATGTGTGAATCAGAAGGACGGAATCCTCCTGAGGAGTATCAAAAATACTGTTAACGTCGTGAGAAACACATAATTACTGGACAGACGGAAACCACGTGGAAATTTCGTATCACGAGTTTCTCCTTCAGTCTAAAATCTTCCAAGATCACTCCAACGTCAGCTTCTCCAAATTCCTTCCTCCTTCATCTGCCGCAACGTCCACGAATCGATGACCCTGGAGCTCCGCTCCAACCGCACAGCCATCCTCGATTACCCCACCAAGTCCATCTTCTTCATTCGCTGTCAGAGACACAAGCGTTTTCCTGCAATTTACTCTTGTCCGCTTGATAGAGCTTGTCCCCGTTGATAGAGTAGCAGACCTTGCTGTATCTGTACATCAGCGAACTCCTTCGTCGGAGATACCACTTGACAGCAGCGTACGTTATCATCGCGACGAACACGGCCACGTTGATCCCAAAGAAAATGGTCATCCGGTAGAACCAGAGGGTGGACTGCATGGTCCACGAGTACTCTCGCAGGACGCACACGGACTCGTCGAGATTCGTTGAGAGATCGGCGTCCTCGTGACAACTGGTACACTCGGTATTCGAAGATCCTGAGCAAGTTAGGCAGGAGTAATGGCAGCCTGAGCAGACAGCCTTTGTCTCGTCGGAAACGCCATAAGTTCCGGTAGGACAATCGTACACGCAGACTCCGCCGTGGTAGTACCAGTTCTGCTTACATTCTGGAAAATGACACAGGTCTTTCACAGGTCTTCCCTTCTTCGATAGTGTTTTCTATGATAGGTATCTCGTTGTGTTGTGTTGTTTCGTTGCTTGTTCTGTGTGTGTGTTCGATGATGTGTCGAGTAGCCTCGGAAACATACGGATGACAATAGCAGACTAACTAGTCATGCAAAAATAATGCTTTATTTTTATCTAGCTGTTCGTCTTTGTAGTCAGTAGTTCTAGGTTCCACGTGAAATCCTATTCCTGAATTTTACTTTAATTCTGCTTTAATTTTGCTAGTCTACTTTGACATGCGTCCTCCTTTGGCAATTACCGATCTCGATTGTCCGTCCCAATTATTCATCCCGGTTATTGAATTTCGAGCAAAGGATTTCAGATTATTCGCGAGTTTAGTCGCAGGTATGCAAAGCTTTTGGCTCATTCCGGAAGATAATTTGAATTTTCAAACAATACCGCGCGTCTAGAGAGTGCTGAAAGCGGACAAGAGACGCGTTTCGAGGATCTTGATGAAGTTAATGCCAATGTTGGTAAACCTATGCTCAACGAGGGACAACCGAGAAACCTGAATTACTGTTACGATCAATGGTCATGGAAACCAGAAGCATCTGATTCCTTGCTATGGAGTTCTCGTGACGTCAAGGTAATAACGTTATCGCGTTTAACACTGCAACTACCAATGGCACCAAAATTACTTGTCTCGGATATTTTATTTCCGCCATTTCCGAGAACACGAGTATCATTCGGACAAGAACGTCATTATATATAATCATCTCTCCCGAGAATATTATTGTAACTGAGAAATTCGTTGGAAGAGGATTATTATTATCATCGTATTTTTATAGTCTACTCCAGCGGTTCTCAACCTTTTTACCTGCATATTGTCAAGTAATACGTGTTCCAGTCACGTATCACTTTGCAAGTAGTATCTATTCATTGTGCAATAACATACTTCACTGAGTATATATAACAATAATGGTAATTTAATTCAGTTCAAATATCATTGGTGGTACACGTGTCATAGGTTGAGAACTGCTGGTCCATTCTATACTATAGTCTTATCATACATCAAAGATGGAATTTATATCGATCAATATTGAGGTCTTTAAGTTTCTCAAAGTAAAAATTTGTAAAAGCATAATTTTGGCAGATAAGATAATGTATAGTATAATAATACTCATGCACGATATTTATACATCATAAAAGACAATACATTCAGTTACTCGTTATATGGTACATCGATAGTTATAATGTTAATCAATTTTCGAGTAAGTTCGATCAAATCTTCCAACTGTCAAACTGTCAAACTGTCAAACTGTCATCCATACGTCACTTGTGTGTTGGTTTCGTGTATGAGATATTATGTGGTAACTTTAATTCACAATCGAAATACATTTTCTGGTTAAATATACATATTCGTTTTACAACAAGGTACACATGTGTGCGATAAGCGATGTTCTATACTATAATGACGAACAATTATACATTCACTGTTTATTAGGCCTTGGTGAATCAAAGATCGATCGACCGCGAACGATTCTCGGCACATTGCGCACGAAGACGAGATATTTTGCACTCTTTCCTTTATTCTCCACTCGGGAATAGCAAAATATCCGACTATCGGGCATCATTGCAAATAAAATCCTCCCTAATGTGTCAATTTCGTTTAGAATCCGTCGCAAACGGTTCTTAACCTCGTTTAGACTCAATCGGAGAGGAAATTTTGTTCAGAATCGACGGGAAACGATTCTCAACTTCGTTTAGAATCGGTCGCAAACGATCTTTAACACTGTCTGGGATCGATAACGATCGAGTTGTACCTTGGAAATTCGATTCTTTAAGGATATTTGAGGAATATCCTGATTTCATATTCGCCCAGCCCTAATGTAAATCTGTCGCTCACATTTATCGAATGCGGAAGTAGCGCCATCTGCGTTACTCCACGATAAAAAAAAGAAAAATAAAGAATAAAAGAAAAAAGAAAACGAAAATGAAGCACGTTAGATAAAATTGTAAATTATGAATTCTGCCAGTCGCTATCCGATGTAACTATAGAAAATAATGCGAGGCCAAAATAATGTTAGGGTCCATGCTGAAGCTTATGGTCACTACGCGATTTATTGGCATTAAATGTAATAATACAATTAGCGAAATACATGTAGAACGATGAAAATTTCCTGGTAATGTTTCGTCGTTGAACATGGGACATTCTAAGTTCGATAATGACAAATAATAATATCAATAATAATAAATAATAATAAACCTGTGTCGAGTGTTCGTTGAAAGAAAGTGCTTGCGATTGTTACGTGTTTGAAATGAAAAATCACTAGATGGTAATGTTCAGGGTAAAATAATTAAATACTCGAGGCTGTATCTAGACATATTTCTGTGAATATACGATATTTCGATTTTCAGCAATAAAAATCTCGTATTGCACAAAGTTAAGCGCGGTTTAACCAGGTTAATTCGATTCACTGGTAATCCAGCAAGCAGCGAAGCGCAAAGAAAATATCATTGCAGCAAAGATCAACCAATTCAAGCACTATGCACGGAACAAGAAACTGATGAGAAAGCAAGATCATTAATTACGAGAATAAAAATGATAAGATTCTAACGGAAAAGAGAAAGTTCAATTGAATCGAAGTAAATTGAATCCAGGCAGACTGAGTATAGACACGCGAGCAATGTGAAACAATAAATAATAGTTGGTCGTAATGACATTTTGTCAGACACTTTCAAATATTCTTCTCACTTTTCTTTAGAGAGATTGAATGGCTTGGTGGAAAATGGTTTTCTTTCTCCAAAATTGAGATAAGCGATTTTTTTTCTCAAAACCAAAATGGCTACGTTTCTTTTAAAAACGAGAGAAATACACGAAACAAAGAGAAATACACGATATTAGTAGATTTATATCGAGGATTTTATTATAAATTTCCACATTTTGGAGATGCTGGAAAATATTATTTCAAAATTCCCTAAAATTAAAGATTTACAAAGTTTGAAAATATTCGGAAATATTTCTTCAAAATTTCCTACAATCAAACACCTTATTTCCTCCATTATTTCCCTTCTGAAACTTTCAATAAATTTTTACAATAAAAATAATAACATTAAAAGCATAAGAAATATGGTATTACTATTTAATAAGCAAATTATTAAATTTTGAAATACTATCTATTAAATATTAATTAAAATACTACTAAATTTTTAAATACTATCTAATAAACTCAGTCACAACTTATCACTCGCAAAATGAAATTTGCATCCGATAAAAATTTTCTTTCTCGGCTGAAAAGAGGTGAATCGTTACGTGAATTGTTTATTAACGCTTTCAATAACAATTCTTCAATGATTTTTGTCGACGTTGCCCACGATTCAAGATACTTGATTCAAAGCAGAGCGCTACTAGCCAAAGGATATAAATAGGAAACATTATAGAACGATAGAGAAGTAAGACTCACCGTGCTGGTGAAGCGATCAGGGATAGGTTCTTTTTTATTTTTTATTGGTTGTACGTGTGTGGTTGTGGATGTGGATGTGGTTGGTGATGGTTGGTTGGTGATGGTAGTTGGCTGGTCTGAGAAAATCCGCACCGCAACTCGCCCACGGAGAGCCCCAAGTACCTAAATACGTTTTCAGAACCTGCTATGGAGTAGAGGGATAAAGCGACACGTGACACTTTAGGACAAGTAATCTTTCTCTTTTGCCTCCACTCGAAGTGAATCAACTTTGATCTCCTGGATAAGCGATCACGATGCTCTTTCCGCAGCTTTCTTTATTCCGTTTCTTCGTTCTGAAGAAAGGAGAAACTCGATTGATTCCGTGCAAATCACTGGTGAAATTTTATCAAATGCTTCATGTGATCGATAATTTCATTCCAATAGAAATTTTCGTATAATGTTTTTTTTTCTTTATAAACGGCTAATTTAATAGACAATGCGATAATTTATTGTATCTCAAGGCTCTTATTATTTTAGACTATTACATCAATTTTGCGATGATCAGAATGGTTCCATTTTAATAATTTCTTTTGTTATTATATATTATTATTCAAATTTTATAAACCAGACAACAACAGACAAAATAATTTGCGATTAGATCCAAATTGGTATTTATTTTTATGTATTATATAAATTTTGTAAACGATCGAATTAAAATTAAAATCAAAATTAAAATTAAAATTAAAATTCTGCTATGATAATTTAATTGCAGGGATTCGTAATATTCGAAATAGTATTTACTTTTGTATATTATTATATCAAGTTTGTAACTATCAGTATGCTTTCACCGTGGTAACTGCAATAAGCAATTTTATAACATTCCAAGTGGTATTTATTGTTATATATTGTTAAATTAATTTTGCAAGTATCAAAGTGCTTTTGTTAAATTGCAACGTGATAATCCGTAATACCCACGAGGAAATACTTTATCGTTATCTCCAGGACAATGAAAGATTCATCGGGCAAGAGGCAGAATTCCTGCAATCTCTTGCTCAGCTGAAGGAATGTGACAGAGTCAACGTGTAATACACGAAAGAGTCAAGCTGTAAGGATACACAAGCAACAAATAGTCGTAGAGATTGATCGCGTCGTTGAAAATCGACGTAGCTTTGCGTGGATGTCAGATATCGATACGAACACACACACATACTAGCAAAAGGTAAAAAACAAAACAATCATTTGAGAATTCTCCCAATTCTCTATCTTCCGAAATACATATGCGTATCAAAAATAAAAATAGAACTGAGAAATAACATCATAAGCTCATTTTTAATTTCAACCTACGTATTTCGGAAGGTAAAAGACTTAGAAAAATTCACAAATCTTTACCTCATTTCTCAACCTATGTCAGTAAGTGTACATAATAAGATCCTGTGAGCTATGTTCCACAGAATGCTTTGATCGATGCGTAGTTTCTCTCAACAATTGAAGCCATAATTACACGTTGTTATGAGAAACGTGAGGAAGGAAAATTAATAAAATTGGAAATTTTCGAATTG